TGACTCATTTCTTTTTCGTTTTAACTCGGATTTTAATTTTTTTTGCACAGATGGAACGAGTTCATCGTGCTCTACAAAATGAGATCAATTTTCAATATTTTTTGAGGAAAAAAAATTCTGGCCTCTCGGTACCAACTGCATACCATATGGTATCTTCTTCGTTTTTCATTCGTTTTTGAAAACGTTTGCACAGCAGGGACGAGTTCATCATGATCTATTGGATCTACAAATTTCTGGGTGAACAAATTACAAGACAAAAAAATACCACACAATACCATACAATACCACCCTGGTACGGGGTGGTATTTTATGGTATCTTATGGTATACAATGTTAAAAGTCGTAAATAACAATTAATATACTTCTACTATCATGTATTCAACCATCCTACAGTTTTGGTTTGTGTCATACCACAATGGTACGCTTTTCAAACCATAGGTATGCTCTTATTTCAATACCAGTCAATACCATATGGTATAGACTAGTAAAAAATGGCTCAATTTTTTTTGTTCGAAAAATATATCAAAGTGGATATCATTTTGAAGAGTACAATTAATCTGATCTAACTGTGCAAAAAAATTAAATTTCAACTTAAAACGAGTGAGAAATCGTCCGTCAAAGATTAAGGAGGGGAAAATTAAAGGCTTTCCAAGAGAGAGAGGATGCTAATGTCATGCTGATGTGGGCTGGTTACTCATAGTTACTCACCAGAAGGTTACTGACCTGATCCGTTCCCGTTCCTGATATATATGGTACGATTTGACAGCAGCCGACAAATAAATTTCACGGTTAGAATTTGGCGTTTGTTCTGACGATCTTAATTATAGCTAGCAGCTCGTACATTAATCAGATTATTAAAAAGTACTTAGTACAACAATAATGTGATAAAAAAATTAGCATATTATAGTCAGTCATTGATCATAACGAAGCTAGATAAGGATCGTCTATTATTGTTGCACTATCTTACATTTATTTAAAAGGGTTTTGGCAAACCGAATTATTTTTTTGTTGGGATTTAAAAGGGTTTGAAAAAGATATTGAATAGACAAACTAAAATATTATTTATTGGGATTGGAAAATGATGTGGTCTAGTCGAGACTGGATCAAATCAATTCAACCTATTAATTGGGATGAGGTGAAAGATATTGAGATTGAACTAAATAGGCAGTGGGAAGCGGAGGAAGTGTACTTGCAAAAAAATCTCGGGTCACATGGCTAAAGAAGGGGAGCAAGAACACGTGGAACTTCATACGGTCACTCGTGCTCGCAGAAAATGAAATTTTGTAGCTGGGCTTCGAGATGATAATTGGGATTGGGTTACTGAGGAGAGAGGAAAGACGGATATAGCTACTAATTTCTACCAAACCCTCTTCACCTCCGAGAACCAGGTGCTTAACATGGTCGATCGTGTGGCTAATCTCCCCATAGGCCAGAGTGTGACTGCTGAAATGAATGCTTACCTTACAAGGGAAGTCCTTCCTTGTGAAGTTCGGCGAACCGTTTTCACCATGGGATCCATGGAAGCCCCATGTTCGGAAGGTTTCACTGGTAAATTCTTCAACGCTTTCTGGGACATTGTTGGCGAGTCTGTGGTTAATGTTGTATCATCCTTTTTTACCACCAGCAGAATGCTTAAAAGCTTTAATCTCACCTGACTATAGGGGTGAAAGCTTGACCCGGAAGACCCACTGACCCGTCGCGTCCCTAAGGGTCGGGACAAAGTTTTTCTACAGGGTCAGATTAGGGATGAGTCATTTGTTGACCCTGTAAGGGTCGGGACGGGTAGAGACAACTTAGGGACGGGTCACGTTTTGACCTTGTGATCCTTAGCAACAACAAATATCTCACACCACAATGGACCTTTTTGTAAAGTTTTAAAAGTTAGGTACTAACTTGTAAAAATAAAAAATTTGATTACCAAAACATAATTTTACAATAAAAATTTATGGACTTATTTGTAAGAAAATAAATTTTAGGTACTATTGTAAGAAAAAATAATTTTGGGTGCCAAAACGTAATTTGTAAAAAAGTAGTGTGTTGATTAGAGTCGACCCACTAACCCATCCCGACCCTTGAGGGTCTGACAGGGTCACGAAGGGGACATGGACGGGACGGGTCAGTTATACATCTTGACCCTTCAGGGACGGGTCAGACAGGGTCAGGGACGGGATGGGCAAATTTTTAGCCCTACCTGGTTAACTCTGATCCCAAAAGTGGACAATGTGGAAAACATGAGGCAGCTCCGACCAATAAGCTTGTGCCAGTTTGTTTATAAAATTATAACTAAAATTATGTTGGAAACACTGGAGTGCATCTTACCACAGATCATTTATTATGGTTAAAATGCTTTCATAAAGGAACGACAAATTGTGGAAAATATCCTGCTAGGACATGAGTTAATGCATTATTTGAAAATCAAAACGCAAGGGAAGAAATGGTACATGGCTTTGAAGGTTGACATGGAAAAGGCCTATGACAGTCGAATGACCATTTCTCCTCGCGGTTTTGGATAAGATGGGTTTCAATTCAACCTGGACATGCTAGATACATGAATGCCTTCAGTTAGCGTCTTTCTCGATCTTGATGAATGGTACCCCGATGGGTTTTTTCTCTTCCTCAAGGGTTCTACGACATGGTGTTCTGCTCTCCTTGCTCCTGTTTGTGATCTGTGTGGAGTGGTTTGCGGCACTCCTTCGGAAAGCTATATCTGAAGGATGTTACAAGGTATTAAAGTTGCCCCCAGGGCACATAGAATTATCTCTTGTAGTCAGCTTAATAAAAAACTAAGTGGGAAGAGAATTAACTATTGTAGTCGGCTTAATAAAAAACTGAGCGGGACTCATTCTAGGGCTTAGCAGGACTTGAGAAATCAGAATCTCAACGATAAGGGTGAGCTGCTCGCGGTTAACAAAACCCATAAGGACTTCACTAGGCCCTTTTATCTTTTCCTTTGCCTTTCTGAGGCCCACTAACTCAGTTTCACCATCAAGCGAGCTAATCACTATAGGCCCAGGGTCTGTGCAAATGGGGTTGGGCCGGTTCAAAGGCCCATATTTTCTAATCCAAATCTTCTTGAGCCACCCACCTGCAACCTCATTAACCCTACCTGCGGAAGATCGAGGAACAGTGCCATGCAGTCGAGGCTGCGTCTCCGGGTAAGAGTGCACCACTCCCAGTCCCAGCCGATTTGTCTCCCTTCTAGATTGTCTCCTGATAGCGTCGTATTTGCACATGTTTTCACTCTTGTTTCCTGACCATTTTAGCTCGAATTTGTTGTTCCTTGGCCTATTTTACGCTAGGTTGTGTTTTTTGTCGTATTTCAGGTCCTAGCAAGTAAAGAGGTGCATAGGCGCAAGTTTCGGGTAATTTGGAGGTCAGTTGGCAATTCAAGGTGCAAATTACGGGCAGCCCTGCCCATTTACGGGCGTAATTGCTTCTGTCATGCCTGTAATTGCAATGCCGAGCCAAATTGTGTAGACCCATTGATTATGGGTTGAGTATGTGTGTTTATATGGGTTTGTAATAGATGAGTTTGGGTAGGGTATGGATATTTACTTCCATAATCTAAATGTGTATGAGTTGGGTATGGATACCCATTTATTTGAGGGTGTTTTAATTATAAATACAAAAATTAGACATGTTTTAGAACTTCAAAAGTTAAGGTACCAAAATGTAATACAAAAAAAAAAATAGATGCTAAAATATAATGTTCCATCAAAATTTTGAGGACTTATATGCCAACAAAATAAATTTAGGTTATAAATCAAAAAAACTATTAATTTTAGGTCCAGAACCGTAATTTGCATAGTTGAGACTTAATTCCTTTTATGGTGATGTATTTAAGATGATAATTATTTACTTTTATATAGATAAATGAAGACTATTTATTTGATATGTGTATATACCTAGCCAAGCATTCCATGTCTAATTGTTGAAAATTCTAGCCCGGGTGAAAAAGAAAAACTTTAGAGAGAAGCAACTCGCTTATATGGTCACGCCTTGTCATGATTCAATTATTAGTTCTCTAGACTGTTGGTGAGTCGTGTATTGACCCGCTCATACTAGTGTTTAGAATACATAAAAATAGTATATCTAATTAGTGTTAGATGATTTTAATTTTAATTGTTGAATGATTTTACATTAAAATTAAATTTGAGGTATCAAAATGTAAAATGTATATTATAGTGACTAAGTTGTGATTTAAATAAATTTGGGGTATGAAAATGTAACATTTTATGCAACAGTAATCTTACTTCAGATTTTAGATACGAAAATCTCATAAAATTAAGATACCAAAACATAATTGTTGAATGATTTTACATTAAAATTAAATTTGAGATATCAAAATGTAAAATGTATATTATAGTGACTAAGTTGTGATTTAAATAAATTTGGGATATGAAAATATAACTTTTTATGCAACAGTAACCTTACTTCAGATTTATATATATTAACTTTTCCATGACCAAGTGGCAAGTAACCAGACTGAATCACATTGACTACCATATACAGGGGCGGAGCTACATTGTAGCTAGGGTGGGCCCCGGCCCCCCCGGGATTGATCCCGGCCCCTAGGTTCTTAAGGATATTTCGTACAAATTTTAGAAGTAGAACATGTTCTGTAAATTATGTCATCAAATAGTTATGTGGCCTAATGGTAGTGAAGCTTAACTAGTGTATTATAGCACACAGGTTCGATTCACATTGGTTACATAAATTTTTTTAATTATTTTCGGCCCCCCCCGGTTTCGAAATCCTGGCTCCGCCCCTGACCATATATATTTGATGCCATAGATTTCTTCTTTGATACCAACAGGCAAGACACACAACTCAAGGCAGTCTCGCATTACATTTATTTTGAAATAAACGTACTTGCCAACTTGACATAACATACTAGTTTTTGTTTAATGCATAGTTTTTTTTTTTATTAGATTAACACTCATATCACAACTCTGAAAGGGTAAAACGTAGGAGCACACCACCAATATGAAAAGTTAATCTTTATACACCGCAAAATGCGTGCAAAGCAGAAGGGGCTGCTTGGCCAACTTCAGTGTAGAAAAATGAAAGAAGTTCCTTATGATAGAAGGGCTTGAACAGCAAGGGATGTTGTTCATCAACCAATTCTTCTGGGACTTTTATAAGGTAATCAGCTTTTGGGAATGAGAATAGACCCAAAGAATATCTCGCCTCATTTCCCGACATCATAACTCGATGATACGTTGAATGAAGTCGACCATTCAACCAAGCCTGCGAATACACACTTATTAAGTTACATATATATACATGTATATAAATAAATGGTACAAAAATCTAGTTTTTAAATTCGAACTTACGAAAAATAAATTCGTTTAGATGAACCGGTTCTGTACGCCTTAGTGTGTAAAAAAAAGAAAGAAAGGGAGGCACAGTCATAACTTACACTAAGACAGTCAGCAATTATAACGATGAAAGAGTTTGGAGTAGAGGGTTGGAATTTGATCCAGCTGCCATCTTTGGTCTGCACTTCCAGCCCCTCAACTTGATTTTGATGCAATATGGTCAGTGAATTCTTATCTGTGTGTGAATTAACTCCAACTTCAGTATCAGTGGTGTTAGGACTATTGTACTTCATGATCCGCAGCAGGTAACCTGTGGAGTTGATGTGTTCGTCCACATATTTTTGAAGCCCAAAACTTTCAGCGATCATTTTTCTCACTGTCATGTCCAATGTTGAAAGTTGCTCCACCAAGGAGTGGGTTTGTTTGCTGCCAAGAAGTTTGAGAATCACATAGTAATTAATTCAGTCTCTCAGTTCAGCCTTTATAAACCAAATATTGAATTGCTTTTTTTTCCAAAACGCACTAGTATCTAAAAACTGCAGGCAAAAATTAAGTTTGTAAAAATTAGAGAGATGTCAAACCAACCCCTTAATTTACCTGAAATCTGGGTTTCCTTCAGGCCACATCAAGTTGGCAAAAGCTTCAACCTTTTCAGTCACCGCGACATCATCTATCCCCAAGCTCTCGTACAGCCGAACACTAGGATGATTTCCTATGTAACCATGGTACGGTATGTCGGACACATTCCGCATCTTGGTCTCCAAAGGAAGCTCGAAAATCTCTTCCATGGATCCGAAGAAGGCGTTGCGAAGGTCGGAAGGTATCTTATCGTAAGACGCCTCGAAGCAGCCGTACTCCTCCAACGCCTCGCGAACTTGAGATTTCAAGGATTCCCACTCTGGACTTCCCACGCTGCTCAGTTCCAGCTTGGAGAAATCTAAGAAGGGCAGCTTGGGAAAAGATTCGGAACCCATTGTTATTGTTGTGTTGGCTAAAGCAAAGTGGTGTTGTGTTTTGGGCCACCTTGAGTTCCTTCTACCTGCATTTATAGCTCCTGTGGTGGTTGTATCGCATATTCCTTTGATGAAATCATTGCGTAGAAATACCCTCACTAGGCGGTAAAAACAGAGGGAAAAGGAAAGGGACATGGATGGCGGCAAAATCCTGGAGATGAAACATGTCGATCAATCGAAGGGGACAAAAGAAAGAAACGAAAAAAGGGTTAAACCCAAGGTTGGCTAGCTGTACAAGATCAAAGGACAGACGAAAAGCGCCAAGGGTAACAGAAGTTGGAGAAAGACATCCAAGCAGAACAGATAAAAGCCGGCTAAGATGGGTTTGGGCAGAGTTTATACTTTAGGAAAAAGGTTTGTTGTTAAAAAAAAAAATTCACAACTCATTCACGCATTTTTGTAATTATTTAGGTCATTTGGAGGTGTTTATTCACGTCAGAATTATGATTAATTTTGTAAGTGTAATCTCAAACTATTTTCTTTAATTTTTCCCTAATAATTTTACATTGACCATATTTTATGGAAATAAAAATGCGTTGATTGATCACTATTTACACAATGACATCTGTTCTGATATATTTTATAAATTTTTTAAAATAATTTTATAACAACAAGAATAATTAACAATACAACAAGAATAATTAACAATATACGTGAATAACTAAATTGTGTAAATACTCATTACGGGTTGTGAGACTATAGACTCGCTATTACTAAGTTGTTGGTAAATGTTTAAGATTAAAATCCAAAAACCAATTTCGTGCAGTAACATGTTTTACAATCCACAAACCCTATCAGATCCCATATCGAGAGAGGAAAAATTCCTTATTCACATGAAATGGCCAATCGAGGTTCTTTATTTTTCGAGCAAAAATCGTCCAGGAGTTGATGCTCGTTTGGATGGGTTGAAACTTATACACATAATATGCTTAGCTAATCCTCTCTTGCGCTCACACTTATCAAATGCCACAAAATGCCTTGACCGGGCATTCGGACCTGTAACCTTGGTCCGTACGGAAGAAATAGAGGAGCCCAACGTGATCCAACGGTTTATAAAGCAAAGGATGCTCCTCGTCCACAAGCTCTGCAGGCACTTGTATCATCCCTTTGCTGAAACCAAACAGCCCCATTGAGTATCTGTCCACTTTCCCATTCATAATCACTCTGTGTGTTGGAGACACTATCCTGTCGTTGCTCCACGCCTACATGCCACACACAAACAATAAGTCAATTAACGAAGCAAAACTTCTTGACATGGAACTTCAATCTGAATAAAAAAAAAAACTAGTATATATATAATATAAGGGTTAATTGCATGGTTGGTCACCGAGATTACAAAAAACGTTTAAGTTTCGTCACTCGAAATATTTAAATTCATTGGTGGTACTTCAGTTTACTGAAACTGTTCACGTTTGATCACTCTTCGTCCAACTCCGTTAACTTTGACTGATGTGGCAGTCAACTCTCACAATTGACTATTAACTTGAACGTTTTTTGTAATCTCAGTGACCAACCATCCAATTAACCCTATAATATAACTCACCATTAAAGCATCACCGGCAACCACAACAAATGAAGTGGGAGTGAAGTGGACGTTCATCTTCTCCCCGTCCTTGGTATCGATCTCCAAACCGTCGATTTGGTTCTGATGAAGAATCGTGGTGAAGCTCTTGTCGGTGTGAGTGACGAACCCCAGGTGAGGCTCGTCTCCCACCGGAGCTCTGTTCTTCAGCAGCCGAAGCAGATACGTCGTCGACTCCACGTGACCATCGTGGTACTTCTCCACTCCGTAGCTCTCGAACAGCATTCTCGTCACTGTCTTGTCCAGCTCCGCCGTCAGCTTCGCGTACTCGTGGACTTTTTCACTGACAATCAAATCGAGGCGAAGATTAATTAGCAGAGGTGGCAAATGGATTGTATTCATAAATTCGCGGATAGGTTTAGTGGATTAAATAATGGATCAAGAGGATTGGTGGATTGGATCAAATGAATTGGTGGATTGGATCATCTATTCAAGCGGTATCTAAACATTGGATCAATATGTAAATTTTGAAAAGTTTATATATTAAAATGTCTTAATAAAGAATTTTAGATACCAAAATGAAATTTTTAGTGCTATATTATGTTTAAAAATAACCTTTGGGTACCAAATTATAAAAGATAAAAAAGATACTAAACCATATTATTACTGATGCTAGACGTGGCCAATAGATTGGATTCATGAATTGGTATATTGTTGGATTCATGAATTTAAATCAAATAGATTGGTGAATAGCATTGATGGATCCAGTTCACGTTAAGAAATTGATCAATATGTAAATTTAGAAAAATTAAGTCGGTAATGGCATGATAAACATAGTTACCAAAATATCATTTTCTAATGATATTCTAAGTTAAAAACTTGAAATTTAAATATAAAAAATGTAAAAGGTGAAAATGATTGGATACTAATCTATAATTTTTCAAAATATCGATGAATCAAATTCAGAAAACCACATGAGACTAAATTGTCACCTCTACCTGAAGTCGTGGTTTGGATGATGATGAGTCCACATGAGAGTTGTGAAATCTGCGACGGCGGCCGGGTCGACTGCGTCGTCGATGCCCATGCTCTCGTGGAGAGGAAGCTTTGCAATCTGCCCGACGTAGCCGCTCAAGGGTTTCTCGTACTTGTTCTTCATCTTGGTCTCCACCGGGAGATCGAAAAGCTCCTTGAGCGCACCGAAAGCTTCCCGGCAAACATCCGTCGAGATCTTGTCGTAGCCCTCGACAATGAAGCTCCCGTACTCTTCCATGGCTTGTCGCACATCGTCGCGTGTTTTGCGCCACGAGGTGGATCCGGGTTTCAGGTTTTCGCTGGAGAAGTATAGAACAGGCAGAGCTGGAGCGAGACCTTCACTGGAACCCATAGTGGATTGATTGATTGTTGTTTTCGAAAGTACGTTCAGTTTTAGTTTTCTTTGCCTTTGTTGGTATACTTCATTATTGGTACTTGTTTTCTAATATGGACAAAATGAGCATCTCGAAGTGGAGACTCAATTAGTTATATGAAATTTTCATATTTTACGTCTTCATGAACCCACAAACCACAGTTGTAAATTGTTTAGTTTATTCGTGCGTACTGTCTTTCGTATGCATGATATATTCGTCATTTTGCTATGTATTCTATTAAGTATTATTTTAACCATCCTTCGAGAAAATTAGTGTTAATTTAAGAAATTGTATGTAGTACGTACTTTTCATTCTTTATTTATGTGAAACGTACATTACATACATATGTAATTGCGTAAATGGTGTTTGATTAAGGACGACGGTATTTGTCCGTTGCGGTTGTTGAATGTCGGGTTCATAATTCAATTGGGATTCAGATATGATTCCGATTTGATACCCTTTCCGACTTAGCTTGTTGAGCTGAGCTGTTTTACGTCTTATATATTGGATCGTGAAAGGATTTAATGTAAATTTCAGACTTTTAAAAAATTTAAAATTTTGAATCTTATATATCATGCTGAATAAGAGGTGGTTAGATACTTATCAGAAGTGATAAAATAAGAGATTTTGTAGGTTTTCAAATTTGAATTTTACATCGATATTCAACGTTTATGTACATTTACCTTACGGATATATATATATAAGTGAAAGTCAAATGGGACGAAAGTTGATGCATAATGGAAGTTTTTGTTTGTGGTGGTATATTTCACATGTTCGAGTGTTTTTGTATGGAACTTACGATTTATATTTGACTACAGTTTTTATTTTAGATAAAATTCCAACTTCTGTTATATTGGCTAGTTGAAACCACAGATTCACCCAAATCTACTCAAAATTGACCCACCTATTACGTTCTAGATGGTTCATCATAGGGGTGGCTATTTGGACCGAGACCGAATTAAAAACCGGAAATCGGACCGTATAACCCGGACCGTTTAAGACTGGGACCGGATTTAAAACAATCCAATCCCGTCTTTGGTCTTAGAAATAGCAAAAAATCCGGACCAATCCAATCCGGGTCAAAACCGTATTAAAACCGGAAGACCCGATAACTAAAATAAGCCCAAGTGCAGGCCAAGCCCCCATGCTACAGTTAAGGAGGTTCAACCATTGGGCATCTAGAAATCAGATTATGGAACACTAGTTCTCACTTCAAATGATCAAATCGTATTACCTCAGCACTTGATCGGGAGCTCTGGATCTGCGCTCTTCAAAAATTGCAAACGTCCTCTTATCAATATCCATCTGCTCAAGGAAAAATAAAGTCATCCCACAGGGCACAGGGATAATACAAGGATCAACATATATCCCACTCGAAAAGGGAAGAAATTGACACCTTAAACCCGTTGAATATGGAATCCATCGAGTCATCCACTTTGCCCCTTGATACAAGTGACATGGCATTGGTCTCAGAATCATCAGTCCTCTTTGCCCCAAATTCACCTTCATCCTCATCTACTATTTCATACTCTGGCTATAGCTTTTTGGTAAGAACTGTGAAACATAAAACGGAAACTGTTATTATGATTTACGAGAGAAGCTCACCAGGCCAAAGATAAAGCTAAATATTGGCACCAAGATGCTTCATGATTTCCTTTGGCATACACGTGGAATGTTGGTAGATTGTGTATAATATACCCGTCGCAAACACGCTAGCCTCCGCCCTCTACTCCATCTCGTCGGCTCGTCGTCCTTGGTTCGTCGACCAGCACAACCGGCAACAGCCTCTAAAGTTAGAAATATGGAGGGGAGTAATGGGTATATGCTGCTGAATTTTTAGCAACATGGTCAAAATGGGTCAAAACAGGTCAAAATCGGATTGGGACTGGACCGGGTCAAAATCGGACTGTACCCAATCCAAGCTTTGGTCCCTATATTTCCAAAAAGACCGGACTGGACCGGATCAATTTGGGCCAATTTAACCGGACCGGACCGTATAGCCACCCCTAGTTCATCATATGGGTTTATATTGGTCACA